TGTGACCATTAATTACAAAAATGTGACTTTATTATCTTTATTTACTAAAAATAAAAATAAAACCTGATTTTTGAATTTAGAAATTTAAACTTCTTATTTTTTATTTTTTTTCCCAAATACTATCGTCCTTGAAAGAGCTTATTTGGGCGGTTAATTCGCCTACATTATCTACTATGGGGATACAAGAGGAGGCTATTAATGACTAAATAGCTCACGACAGGGAGCAAGATTATGTGATAAAGGAATTCATTAACTCAATCAATGTAGGAGAAAATCACGTTAAGTAAGCAAAAAATAGTAACCCCACAATCGACTTCTACGAAAAAGGATCATAACGTAAATGCAATTACAAACAAGCACTCTATTTATATTCACCATATTTTTTAATATCTGCACCACATTTTAATTCCAATCAAGGTCCCCAATTTTTAGTCAATTTGGCACTTGTCGTTATTTTTTCGTTGCATTTTTATCATTAACCTTTAATTAACTTAGCACTTTTTGTCTACGAGGGGAAAATATTTTGTTGAACCTCGTACTTTTTATTTATTTAAAAATATGAGAGGCATTTGAGCTTTTTTCGCCCTCTTAACCTTTTATTAATTAGCAATCTTGTCATTAATCAAGATTTTCGTTGTTGACTAGGTAACGTGATACTAATAGTTGTAGTGAAACTTATAATACATTTTTATGCACCGGATACGATAGCAGTAGTATATTCAGTCCTTCCGTTGGAGTTACTTTTTTGAAAATAAATTTTTTTTAACCATATTTTAAACAAATATTATTTATCATATTATATACATATTTTTATTTAGTTTTTAACCATTCTTAATTTAAAAAAAATCGGTTTGCAAAAAATTAACTTTTTATAACTCTCCTGCACAAGCATATCGAGATGTAGATAAATAATCTCATATATATAGGCTATAGCTACTACAATCATTGTTGTTACATCGGATACCATTTCGTGAATAATAAATTACAGGAATTTTCTTCAGAGTAAAAGACAAATTTGTCAAGTCGACGTTAGCAGAAAATATGATTGTAAATGCCCTTTTACTTCTTTTGAGAAATAGTCAAATAATTTTATTTAATTTATCACTTATTTTCTTCAATCTTCACCTTTTGGGAGTAAAATATAACAACTATGTTCCAGACCTATTATTTTGACGGTCCCAGTCTTCAACCTTCATTTTTGTAAAATTTGAGTCATTAGTTGATAAATTTTGGGATGAAGCTTGGTGTACAGGAACCCCTACCGAACACACACAAATAGAGGTGGGCTGGGTGTGGTTGGGGTCATTTTTTAATGAGGAGGGTCCCGTGAGAGGCTCGGCTCTGCCTGACCTTTTACAGGCCTGGCAAAAGAGCTTAATACTAAATTTTGCATTGTGCGTTTAATTAAAAACTCAATTTTTGTTACAAATACAACTTGATCAGTATTATTGTTTCAAATATAAATTTTCTTTTATTTTTGATTAAGTAAAGATAAGGATAACAGTCCTTAAAATAATATTTTGAGGTTAATAAAAATTAAAGGTAAGATTGTTGACTAGGGACTTGAGTGCTATAGAAATAAAAGTTCCCAGTTATTACATTTTCAATAGATTAGGACCCCTATTATAATTTTCCCTCAAATCTAGCTACAGTTAGTCCCACCTTCAACCTTCATTTTTGTAAAATTTGAGTCATTAGTTGACATATTCAATTAAAAACCCGATTTTTGTTACAAATGGAACCTGACCCTTAGTATTGTTACAAATATAACTTTTCTTTTATTTTTGATAAAGTAAAGAAAAGGATAACATAGTCTTTCAAATTAAATTTTGAGGTTAATTAAAATTAAAGGTAAAAATTGTCGGTTAGGGACTTGAGTGCTATAGAAATAAAAAGTTCCTAGTTTTTACATTTCTAATAGATTAGGACCCCTATTGTAATTTTCCCTAAATTCTACCTACAGTACTGGGGAAACGTGAGGATTAGGCTCCAAAGTTTACCCGCATGAAAAGTCGCATTCTTGTCTCTCTCTCGAGTGATCCACGCACAGCATTGATGGGCCACAGAGCAACTCTCTCTCTCATTCATTTTTATTTTTATGTGTACGTATTTAAAAGGTGCGAATATATAGATAAGAATGAATATGGATAATTGAAATCTTTTTATTTGTTGCTGTAAAAATCTAACATCATAGGCCCAAAAGAAAGCTGTTACACATGCAGTACTTTTAACATACACAATCACAATCACAAACACGAAGATAGTACTAAAATCCCGCATCTAGAGGTGGCATGGCACTTTCTTGGCTGGCTCAAAAGCGAACGGCCCAACTGTGAATAGTTGAAATGGAAGTGGCTTAACCGGTGGCTTGCGGCTGGGTATCAAGATGGCACCAAAGGCTCCATTTCCCATATTGGTTGGGACACTGCATGTAGCCAATGGTGATGAAATTAGAAACACCTTGCACTTGTGAAATGCAGCTGTTGTCAGCTTAGCTGGCTTGAACAAGAAATAACCATTCTTGTCTGTCTTGGTTTGTTCAACGAGTCCCCACTTGGTGTTGTTACACTGTAGCTTTACCACAGCCCCTGTAGAATATCACAAAAATCAACTTCAAATTTTGCACATTGTACTATAGAGTACTAAAATACGACGTGAGGAAGAAGATGTAAACTAACCAGCAAGTGGAGAGGCTCCAATGAGGGTTCCAACCCCTCTGTATTTGCAGGACTTGCAATATACAACACCTTGAACAGCCACCGCCTTCCTGGTGGGTGGGGGAGGCTTCACCGGTGGGTGGCTCGGAGGCTTAACGACTGGTGGAGTGGGAGGCTTGACTGGTGGAGTTGGAGGCTTGACGACTGGTGGAGTGGGAGGCTTGACTGGTGGAGTGGGAGGCTTGACGACTGGTGGAGTTGGAGGCTTGACGACTGGTGGTGTGGGAGGCTTGACCGGTGGAGTTGGAGGCTTGACCGGTGGTGTTGGAGGCTTGACTGGCGGTGAAGTGTGAGTTGGAGGCTTGACTGGTGGTGTTGGAGGCTTGACTGGTGGTGAAGTGGGAGGCTTAACTGGAGGGTGGGTAGGAGGCTTTACTGGTGGTGAAGTTGGAGGTTTAACTGGAGGGTGGCTTGGGGGTGGCATGGGGTGGTGGTGATGGTGGTGATGGCCCTTGTGGTGGGGTGATTTGAGATGGTGGTAATTGTTCTGGTGGTGAAGTGGGAGGTTTAACTGGTGGGTGGCTTGAGGGTGGCGTGGGGTGGTGGTGGTGATGGTGATGGCCTTTGTGGTGGGGTGCAGGGGCTGGTGCAGGCGGGTGTACTGGAACAGGTTCCTTGGCAACACCAACGAAATCGCTAAAAACCGTGAAGGAGCTAGACAGTAGCACCAAAAGCACAAGAACTTTTCCTAAACCTAGAGCCATTGTGCCCAAAGTGTGTGTTATGTGAACTGAACTTCAAGGTTTAAGGAGGGCGTATTTATAGGGGTCTCAAGCAGCATATTCTGTGGATTTGTGACAAAAAAAAACGACTTTTAATAAACTTATAGTAAACCATTGAGCTTTCTTACTAGGGGCAGGGTTATCATATTTTCGATGAGTCATCCAAAATGTGTCGGATTACTAGGTACATAATAATAACAACAATACAGTCGAAACACTACTTTTTTTTTGGATTCGTTCAGAGAAATCGACTCATGGATTAAAAAGATTTCCCCACCCCTAAAAAATAAAGGAATTCCTTCAATTGGTCACACTTCTTATTAAAGTTTTACATAAAGTGTATTTAACTATTTTTTTCCCCTTTTTTTTTTTTGAATTTTGTAAAAATATTTGCTCAATTATGTAAAACTATGTTATCTTCAACTAATTCTTTTATATGCTTACCACATTTGTGATTTTCAAACATTTGACTTGTAAATTCTTATAGTTTAGCGATATGGTACACTTGAATTCTTTACAATTGCATTCTCTAGTATCATGTTAATTTAACTCGTTAAAAAAATAATTGTTAAGAGGATTTACTTGCTTATATTTTAATTTGGAAAATTGGCGTAATACATCCCTAATCTTTTGGATCATTATGCAAAATCATCCCTAACCTTTTAACTTGGAGCGCAAATATCCTTTTTGACACTATCTATTTAGCCCCTGTTTGACCCACATTAGTTTTTTTATTCTCATTCTTCTACTCATTTTCAACCATTCATTATTCAATAAAATAATATTTTCCATTACATCAATAACTTTTTCTTCATTCTCAACCACATATTCCCAAACACATAACTTCAAAAAAAAATGCATTCTTTCATTTTAATATGCACCAAACAGGCTCTTAACTTTGACAATAATTATGCACATGATTGTCACGTGCATAACCTTTTTGGTGCAAATGGTCCCTAACCTTCAAATCTTTGTGCAAACATTTACACATTTCACTTGATAGGTGCGATTGATCCTTTTAGATAGTTTTCATTCAATCGACCGTTAAAAAAATTAAACTTTCTAAAAAGACTAGGTGCAACAATGGATAAGGAGCTTTTATAAAATAGAAATTAGATGCAACAAAAGAGGAGTTCATGCTCGGTCAATTTTCACTTGCAGCTTGAGCTTGTAGTAGGGTCATTTTACTAAATGCCGATAACAAAAAACAACTTATAATCACTTTTAAGGAAAATTAGTGGATCCTCTTTTAAGTAATTATAAGTTGTGAATCTTTTTTGTTGTTGGGATTTAGTAAGATGACCATATCTACAATTGAAGATTGACAAAGCATGAACTCCTCTTTAATTGATGAGATTTAATCTGATTTTTTATTTTATAAAAATTCCTTAACCACGGTTGCATTTGAGACGCTCTTATGGGAAATTGGTTGGTAAAATGAGTTGATTTTTCATTTTTATGTTACGGTTTTTTTTTTTTAAAAAAAAATTCTTTTTTACTTATTTATTTAACTACAATATGTGTCATTTTAGTCTTTTATACGAAAAGTTTGACATTTTTAGCTATCAACTNATATAGCGTCACTTAGACTGTATTTCAACATTAATAATACTAAGCTCGTGTTTGGTTCGGATTAAAATCTGATTTTAATATAATTTAAAGTCAAACAATCAATATTAATCACGTCTTTCATGGATCCCACAACTTTTTGACCACACATTTTAAAAATTTCTATCACAATCTACTAAGAATTTAATTTTAATCCTCACCAAACATCCCTCTAAATAAATTACGAAGGCAATTTGCCTTTTAATTTCAACAACTCTTCTCGGGGATCTGCTTCACATGGGGAGTTTGGTAAATTGCACATCTTACGAGGCTCACAGAAGTTTCCAATAACTTGTTTACGTTTCTCTCCAATAAATAGATTCCAAATGAATTAAAAACTACATAAGAAAACAGCTACTTGTGGGATTCCTGTTTCGAACATGGCTAATTCCATTGGACCTTGCTATTTGCAATTCCTGTACCCACAGGGTACACACAACACTTGGAGGGAAACAATTTTTTTTTTTTTTTAATATTTTACATGCGAGGTCCACATCATGTGAGGAGGGATTCAAAAATCTGTGGAAATTCTGGTAAAAATTCCCTGTACCTGCAGCTTAATTTAATTCCATTTGTACAATGGATGGTTGACAATGGAGGTTGACAAACTCTCACATGCATGTGGGTCCCGCATTATTAAAAAATTTCAAAAAAAAGTGGGACCCTCTCATCGTGAGTGTTGATAATCCAATATTGTCATCTTCCATTGTACACGTAGTATGATTGTTCTAACGTACACTATCGAACGTTATGCGAGAAAAGCTACTTGAAAATCATCACTGGCAACAACATATTGAATGGACCGGTACAGTGCTTCAATCATGATTAGGTGCTTCAATTTTTATATTGAAAAACGTAAAGTTAGTTTGAAGTAATTTTTTTCTATAAGTAATTTACCAATTTCCCCCATTTTTACTAGAATTTAACGGTAAATATGACGGATCTTGACGACAGTAGATTTTTCGCACAATAAATTTTGAATTAGGGAGGTTTTCTGATATTTCCAATAGGTGGAGGGTATATCGCTCATGAAAACGTTTATTTTTGAATTAATCTTATTTGCTATTATCTATCCGACGTATCAAATATGTCGCTAAAACATATATTGTACTGATTTTTGTGTCAAACTAACCTAGGTAACTAATCGATGAGTTGAATAAAGTGAAAAATATCAAAAAGAAGTGAAAAATAGTTTTCTTTTTACTTTATTCGATGGCATAAAAAGTCGTTTAGATTTGAAAGTGAGGGACCAATTACTGCATAGACGATAAGTTCAAAAACGACACTAAAAAAATCTGGATAAACTCAGTCTTGGGATTGGAATTATCACACGCTAGCAATTATTGTTAACGTGCCATTGGACGTAAAGTAATCCAAGCAATGGGTAGCTATAATTACATAAAATAATTAAATTAATATTTGGATCCAACGTAGATCCCGCAATGTTTCTTGTGTTTAGCACGACGAGTAGCATAAAGTATGCACCTTTTTCAATGATGCCAATTCTTCAGCGTAGGTCCAAAATGTGTTGTATTGCATATGATGATTATATTTTATATTAGTTCAACTACGTTACAAAATAAAATAAGTTACACATTAATATCAAAATTAAGCATACTCGAACCCGACCATTTGTCAAGTCCTAGGACTCAAACGAGCATTAATTGTCAACCACCGACTTTGAGCATAGAATGAAATATTTAATAGATAAGAGAATTAGAAAATTTCAGCCGAATTCTAAGTTTTTAATACAAACACTCTACCATTCTCGTGATTGCTTTTCGTAATGTTAGCCATTTACAAAAGAAAATGAAAAAGAAAGAAAACGTATCCCATGCATGCTCTTCCTATACTATATATGCAAAGAAATATTAATTTTAATAATGACCATTGAACTCTACACTAAATTTCACTTTGACCGCTAAACTTCAAATTGTTTAATTTACATTACTCAACTTTAAGCCATTGTTTGAAATAAAATCACTCTTCTTCACACATTTTCAACTGCAGAGTTTTAACTTGAAATGAAACTCCGCCGCAGCTGGTTTATTCTGAATATTAGGCACATGTAGGGATGTTGGAGTCATCATCTATTGGGCTCGGTGACCAACCCTGTTGTGTCAAAACTTCATGAGCCCAAAATGGCCCATTTAATTATTTGGATGGGCCCTAGTACAGTGATTGTCAATGTGGTCCAATGAAAATTATGGTTTTTTTATTTTGGGTATTTCGAAAGTATTGTTGCATTTAATGTGATAGTTTACTTGAAACATGGCTGCTAGGGATGTCCACTGTAAATTAGAACTCAATTGGCATGTATAACATACTGCGTCGATTGTTAGAATTAAAAACATAGTTGATCTGCTAGAGAAACTAAGTTCCCGTTTGACCACCATTTTCGAAAATTTATTTGCAATTTTGCAATTATACATTTAATGAGATTCATAACTTTTTAATTACACATCTAATCAACTTTAATAAAAACTACGAAAAATCTAAATTTTAGCTAAACTAAACAAGGACTAAATTTAATAAATATGTGTGTTTCACTATCTCATTTTTTGATAATGTGATTCAACGTGATATTAAAGTAGCTATAATTGCGGAACCAAATGGCCTATGTTTTTTGATCATTCCAGAGTATCTAATTCAATATACCATTTCTCATATGTCTGAGGGTTGATTATATATAAAGATTGAGAATATTTTTCAGAGAAAACGAAGTTCAGATGGGATTACACATGGGTTACGTGGAAATTTGATTAAGTATAAAACTTGAAAAGTAACTTCGTGTCAACTTCAATCAAATATTCAGACTTGATTCGATAGTCAAATTATAAAATTAAATAGACTAATTTGTTTTACTTGTCGAATAGATTGGTGTAGTATATTTGAAATCTCAATACTAATTCCGAATGAATAAGAAATTGCGGTCCAAATTTGAAAAGAAAAAAGGGAAAAGCGGACCGGGATTTTGTCCAACTTTATCGCTCGTCTAGTGCTTGAGCGGCGAGAAAAATAGGTTTTGTTGAACATGTGTCACCGGCGCTTGAGCAAAGTCCAGTGATAGGCTAGCGACGTAAGGGATGCTTCCCTTCGTGAAGATTTTTGACTTTTGGTATATGACTCTTCACTAACAACCTCTCATCTTCTATAAATAGAACCCTTTGGACGTTCATTGTACATCTCATAAATTTGAATTGAGCATTATATCAAAATCTCTTGCAAAAACTTCCCAAAAATCATTCCAAACTATTTTCTTGTAGAGTTCTAGTTCGTTGTTGCTTGTAGTTTGAATTGTTTCTACCACATGTAATATTCGTTGTATTTTGGGAGACCAATGTCATAATCCGTTAGTACCGTTGCAGGACAATTTTGTCTTAAAGAGAAAGATTTAAACATTTGCCTCAGATTTCTTCTTTTCATTTTATTTATTTTTTGGTTCTTTTCTCTCATATTTTACAAAGAGTCTATAATAAGTGCAGGTTTTTGCACTTATTCGGATCATTAAATTTAGATTTTTGTAAGTTTTTATTAGCAATTTATTACTTAATTTAGTTATTTTTATCGTGTAGGTGAAAACCCGAGTTTGAATGATGATTAGAACGAATTTATGCGAGAAATGAGCATAAAGAACCAAAGACGCAAAAATTTCAAAGTTTGAGGGACCAAGATTATATCATTTTGAAAGTTGGAGGACCCGACGTGCACTATCTTGAAAATTTAGCTACAAAATGAACACCAAATTTAGTTTTTGACAAAACTTCAAAAGGCTCAGGGACCATTTTTTTTAATCTTTTCAAAAGTTGAGGGCTTGTGCTGCAATTTGGGCATTAGGGTTTTAAATTAAAAACTGCCGCCCTTGTTTTAAAAAGGAGGCTACATCTTCCTATTTTTTCTTTTCTTTTCATTTTTCTCTTTTTTATCTTTCTTATTTTTCCTTTGATTTTCTTTAGTATTTTGGGGGCAAGATTGGAGTATGGTGATGGGGAAATAGATTGGAAAAGAATATTCATTGATATTGAAGAATTCTTAACTATTTCTCCCTTTATCAATAAGTTTTTCTTTTCTTTAATCTATTTTCCGTTAATGTGTTGTAAGAATTTGTTTGTTATTTTCGAGTATTTCATAGATAACTAAATATATTTGTGATTGGAGGTGATTTTAAATCCGAGTTATGATTTTCAATTAATTTTTGCTTTATAGTTCTCTTGATTGATGTGTTTAATCAATTGTTTTAAATGTTGTTCATCTTGATTGTTTAGGTGTACAACTAAATGATTGAGTTGTTTTAATGAATGCTATTTTAGGATAGATATAGTATGTAATAACTATTTATTCTAAAACTTTGTAACAATTACATTTCAATAGATTATGATGAATTTTCAATTGATTGTATGTGGATTAACATTTAAGTGAGTAAACCGAGCTTGTGAGTTTACCCTTAATTCAATTCATCTATTTTATGTTGTCGAAAATTCGACTACCGCAATCAAAATAACAAAGAAAATAAAAGCAGAAGATGAAGCGAGGTATGCCAAGACAAATCTTCTTAAGATAGATTCGCCCCCCAACAACGTGCAAACGGGATTATGGACGTCTATCTCCCAAAATACAACGCTTCTTCCAAAATCGATATTGCACAATACCAACCTTGTCGGTCGAACCAAAGAATGAACGTACTCAAACGGAATAACAACGAAAATATCGAAGGAATTTTTGCAGAATATGGAGAGAGAACGAGTTTAAAAATCAAGAATATACTAATTGATTTGATGTACAAAAAACGAATATGAAGGTCTCTATTTATAGAGATTGAAGTGTCTCATTGAATAGGTGTGTGACATTTCACGAACTAGTGCACCACTTGGTCTGATATGTTTTAACCATTGGATAGCACTGTTTCATGATCTGACGGTCCAGATTAAACCACGAAGTGTAGTGTCCATTCATCATGCCTATTCTCCAATTTCTGAACAGTCACCAGCCATGCAGATGCCACGCATACGTCCAACTGAACCAACTACCACGCAGGACTAAGTGACGCAACGTATTATGTGTGTGACACCTATGATGCCAACTCATCAAGCCTCCCGCTGCCATGTCATCGAACCGTAAGTCTATTTGTGAAAACTTTAATGCTCCACAGCTCCTCTAAAGTGCCCAATGCGAATTTTGCGACGTGCGCGGGCCAAGGCCGGGACGAGGCGTGGCACGACGCGAGTGGTGCGACTCTCTAGTGATGGCTAGTTAGGGAGCATTTGGCTAGCCAAAGTTAGATAAGTTGTAGACCACTTATTAAATTATAACTTGTACACACATCCCACTATATAAACAAGTCTTGTTTCTTGTAAACTTTCGATATAGGATTCCTTACCACATATAAGACACTTAAAATTAAGCTTATCAACTTATGGGCCTATATTGGAGACTTTTCCAATTCACCCAAATTAATTACAATGGCCCATATAATTAAACATCACATTTAATTATTTAACACTTTATCAATTTATTCCAACATTTTGTTGTAATACTTTTGTTAAATTAAATTTAGAGAACTTGTTCTAGATTGTTTAATGAATATGGTTGAGTAAAGAGTTAGAGAAAGAAAATCTATTGTGGTAATTGATAGGAAAGTCATTCTCATGGTAACGAAATACCTCTCAATCACATTTTCACATATTTAATCAAAAACTATTTTGTTAATTTCAAAATTCAAATCTTTTCTATTTTGAATTTATTGATTTTTTTAGTTCAACGAAACGCCCCCACCCCACCCCATTTAATTAATTTCATATATAACTATTAATTTCACTTTTTAGTGTGCAATTGATTAAATTAAATCAATTATCTGCGGGAAATAACCCTTACTTGCCATATTATTATTTAAGACGATACGTTTAAGTTAAGTAAGAAAAATTAATTGGTACATCTTTTGGAACGTATCAATTTAATTACGCTCCTATTAATTAAATTTAACCATTTCTCTGTTAATTTAGCAAACAACAATTTCTCTTATCAATTCTCCAACAGGTTAATCTGATAAAAATGGATCTTGGTTGTATTGGCATCAATTAGAAGCAACAAAATGAAGTACAGTATATATTCGTGTCGTATAATAAGAAATAATGAATTGTAACTCTCAAACTAGCTCAACATAAACCCTAGAAAGATCTTGAAATTTATCCTTGGCATTTCTGCTGCAGTCATTAGGCCAACTTCTCGACGACTTTTTTACAACCCTTCTGGTTGTCGAATATGTAGAAACTGCATTGGTCGAAGAAGAAGAAGAAGAAGAAGAAGGACAGGACGATAATTGCATTAAGTATTCGGGATTTTCTTGTCGAAGAAGCTCAGATAATAGAAGAACAAGAGAAGCCATTGATATAGCTGAAGCTTCCAATGATGTGCTATAAAATAACAAATGCTTCGTGGGGGTTGTGTATGGAAAGATGGTAGACGCACACAATACTGAATTTATAGGCAAGCAGAAAAGTAGTTTTGAATTTAAAGCCTGTGGAATATTTGTATTAATTTGACATATTTGAGCAGTTTTCAGAAAACATAGAGCACAAAAGCCTGTGGGATTGAATCTGTCAAATTTGAACACTACCGCCAATGTTGAAAGGAGAAGTTATTTTTATGATGGTCAACTTAATTGACCATGGTATTTAAAATTATTGTTATTAGCAGTAAAGCTGAAAAGTGTCTGATCCAATGTATATTAGCAATATTTTTATATTGAAATATTTTTTTAATGTATCAATTTAATTGGTTAGATATGCGTGGCTTCCACTTCAATTTCAACCTTATGGTTCACGACCATCTTCAGCCTGTAAAGTGTATGATCGAACGTACATAGCCATAATGCCTTGTGCACTTCTTAAAGATGAAATTACCAGCTTTTGGCCTTTTGGATCTCCCATATTTTAAGAAAAGTAAGCATTCAACTATATATTTATAAACTGTTGGAAAAATATTGAGTTGTGGGCTGACTTTGGCACTAATTTTGAGTGGGACCTGCTTGGCTATTTTGATGAGCGGGACCCGCTTGGCTATTTTGAAAGATGAAAGTTGATTTGTGTTCTCCTCCGTGAGTACATCGAAATCATATACTTACTTGTCAAAAATGATGCTCGGGTGAATGAGAAATTGAAGCTCAAAGTATGTCATGTGAAAGGAGTTTGTTGGTGGGAAAAATAAATATTTAAACTTTATCCCACATAAGAAGTGGAGAAAATTTAAAACCACTTTATAAATGATTGCACTTTAGAATGGTGTAATCATGTGTAGCATAGAGGCTCTCTCCACGTGAGCGCGCAGGGGGGTGCAAATCTTGGACCGAAATTGGCTTCGGACCTTGAACTTGTGTGCAAGGGCGACCTGCGTACACGAATGTCGGAGCAAAATTGGCCCCTTAGGAATGTCCACATTTTTTAACTTTTTCAATAGACTTTTGGTTTTCCAAAACTGTTGAAACTCCAAAACTCCTGTTTGTAATTGCTATGAAATGAATGAGCA